TGCTTGTATAAATAAATAAATAAATAAATAAATAAATAAATAAATAAATAAATAAATAAGATTTTTATTTATTTGTGCATACGAGAGCTGGGGTACAGGCCAGAGGTGCGGGTGGATTCACCAGAGACAGAGTGGGGAACAGAATAGGCAGATGTGGGTTGCTTCCTGGCCACTGGGGATAGAACTGGTGCTGCAAAGGCTGCGTATTGCTTCATAGTGCTGTGCTTAACCCCTTGCGCCACCAGGGAGGCCCTATATATTTATTTTTATCCAATTTAAATGATTTCTTTTTTTTACTCCTCCTTAGTGCTAATAATTTTTTTAAAAGATTTTATTTATTTATGCATACAAGAATTGGGGTACAGGCCAGAGGTGTCGGGGGTGAGAGGATTCACGAAAGACAGAGCGGGGAACAGAACAGGCAGATCGACTGAAATACACTGCTGAGGGGAGCAGTGGACAAGTCAGGAGAGGTTGCGTCTCAACCCCTTGCGCCACCAGGGAGGCCCAGTGCTAATAATTTTTCATTTAATTCTGTGGTCTGGCACCGTCCAGTATACTTTGTAGGATGATGGAATCTTCTCGATCTACACTGTACGACACTACCCAATGGTCTGTTATACAGTTGTGCAGCAGTCACTGTTGTAGCCAGGCTTGGAATGTCTGGTCACCCCAGAATGCCCCCCTCCCACCAAGAACCCTCGATCACCGCCCATCTGCTGTTACTAGTTTTGCTGTATTTAAATATCTCATATAAATGGGATGACACCGTATATCCCCATTAGCCTGCCCGCTTTCATGGAAGGTTGCTGGGGTTCACCCCAACACTTCATTTTTCTTTATTGCTAAAGTCATTCATTCTCTGGAATGAAAATAGTCTGACTCTGGCCCTTTGTTTAAGTTTCCCGGTGCTGCTCTGGAAGGTACGTTCCACACGGGAGAGATGTTGAGTCATCACTGTGTACCCACAGCCGCTGCTCGGATGGGGAACAGAGATGTGTAAGAGCCACTGGGAAAGTCTTAGCAGAAATAAAATTGCAAGGTGCTCTGTCAGCAACCCTCAGTTCTCGAACTTGTGGCTAAGTCCATTGTGTGGACGGGGCATGTTTTTTGATCCATTCGCTAGCTGACGGGCCACCTCCCCCCACTGTGCATAATGCTGCTGTGAGTCTGGTGGGAGATGCGGGGCCCTTCTTTCAGGGAAATACCTGGGGATGCTGCCTCGCGGAGTGGCTCTGAGAGCAGACATTTCTCTAGAAACTGATTTCCAGGACGGCCGTGTCAGTCCACATCCACTGAGCCCTGCTGCGGGTGCCAGAACGTCTGGCTCCACACAGCTGGGCGGTGGTCCCTTGTCTGTTTTCCGGAAGTTTGCAGAGGGCTGGTGATTTCTTCTAGGACTTGGTAAAATCCCTGTGATGCCATCTGGGAGTGGACTTTTCTTTGTGGGAAATTTGAATTCTGAGTTCATTTTCTTAGATGCTTTTAAATTTTTATTTTCTAAACTTTGTGTGATTATTTTTTATGGTTTGAAATTTTGTTTTTTTAATATATAATGTATATGTAACTATATATAAAATACTACATTTGATCATTCTTTTCCCCCTCCCCCAGTTTTGAGTTATCATTGACACATAATCTATTAGTTAAAGGTGCATGCCATGATTTTTTATTTGTATATAGTGCAAATGATCACACAATATGTTTAATTAATTTAATTTTTTAAATTTAAGATTTATTTATTTATGCATGCAAGAGCTGGGGTACAGGCCAGAGATGTGGGGGCGGGCAGTGAAAGGATTCACCAGAGACAGAGCAGGGAACAGAACAGGCAGACGGACTGAAATACACTGCTGAGGGAAGTAGCAGGCGAGACAGGAGAGGTCTGCTGCGCCATGTGGGTTTCTCTCTGGCCAGCCGGGGATTGACCGCGTGCTGCAGAGGCTGTGGATAGCTTCGTAGTGCAGAGCTTAACCCCTTGCGCCACCAGGGAGGTCCATAATATGTTTAATTTATATCCATCTCCTCCTATAGTTACTTTTCTTGTGAGGAGAACTTTTAAAATCTCTCTTAGCAACTTTCAAATATAATAGAATATTGCTCACGCTAATCACCACGTTCCTAATCACCGTATGACTAGTTGGAGGTTTGTGCCTATTGCTCTCACTCACCCATTTTCCCCACCCCGTCTCCACTCGGCAGCCCCCAGTCTGCTGTTCCATTTCTGTGAATTAGGTTTTGAAAATTTTTCCCTGTTTTAAATGTTTTTTTTTAGGTTCCACATATAAGTGAGATCATACAGTATTTGTCTTTCTCTGACATTTTACTTAGAACATTCTGTGTATATAACATTCTGTTTGGGGTTGATACCTCCTTGAAACTCCACATCTTTTTTAGCTCCCCCCCTTTCATGTTTCATGCTCTTGATGTCTCGTTTCTGCCCTTATTGTCACGTGTATGTTTATGTAGGTTTTCTCTTTCTTCGAGAGTCCGTTTTGGCAGCTGGTGTCTTCTCAGGAAGTGGACATTCCACCTGAGTTGTCTCCATTTGTTCGCATTGAGGTGGTTTAAGACTCTTCTCTGTGCTTGTGCTGGCAGCACGCCCCCCGCGAGGCAGGGCCCCCCACAAGGCAGGGCCAGTGCTGCCCTGTGTGGCCACAGCAGGCTCAGGATGGTCATGATGTTACTAGATTTGGTGGTGTCGGGGTGGGGTCTGTGCAGAGGGGGAGACCAGCCAGCGCCCTGCTGATTCACATCTTTTTTTTTTTTTAAGACGTTTTTTAAAGACTTTTTTTTTTTTTCGAAGATTTATTTTTATTTATTTATACGAGCACTGGGTACAGTCAGAAGCGCGGGAGGGTGAGAGAATTCACCAGAGCCAGAGCGGGGAGCAGAGCAGGCAGAAGGACCGAGTACACTGCTGAGGGGAGCAGCGGGCGGCAGGAGAGGTCTGCGCGCCATGCGGGACCCTCCTCCGGTGGCCGGGGAGCAGCCGGGGATCGAACTGGCGGTGCCGAGGCTGCGGGCAGCTTCGCAACCCAGCGCTCAACCGCTGCGCCACCAGGGAGGCCCTGATTCACATCTTTTATCTTCTTAGGGTCTCTAGTGACAGCCCATCTTTCATTGTCTTTTCGTCATCAGTTTAGGCTAAAGACAGTGGTTGATGATCATGATGAGAACTTTGAAGACAGCTTTTGGTTTCATGATTTTGCTCTTCATTTTCTAGATCCTTGAGATGGAAGCTTACCTGGTTACCTCTTTGGTAGATGTGTGATAGTCACCTCTAAGCAGTGTTTCACCCCTTTACATTTTGATGTATTTTTTTTTTTTTTTTTTGTTTTCTTTTTTTTGTGCGTGTAGAAGAACTGAAGTGCAGGCCAGGGTGTGGGGGTGAGAGGATTCACCCAAGACAGAGTGGGGCGCAGAACAGGTGGATCTACTGAAATCCACTGCTGAGGGGAGCAGCGGGGAGACAGGAGAGGTCTGCTGTGCCATGTGGGTAGCTCCCTGGCCAGCCGTGGATCGAACTCATGCTGCAGAGGCTGCGGACAGCTTCTGTGCTCAACCCGCTGTGCTACCAGGGGGGCCCATGTGTCGTATTTTCATTCTCATTCCAGTTAAGATTTTTTTCTAGTTTCAGGGTCTCCCTGGTGGCACAAGGGTGAAAGTCTCAGCACTATCAAGCTATCAGCAGCCACTGCAGCACCAGCTCCATCCCCAGCTAGCCAGGGAGCTGCCCACAGGGCGCAGCAGGCCTCTCCTATTTCCTCCTTCCTTCCCGCCCTCCCTTCCTCTTCCCATCCATCCAGCCGTGCTCCCACCCACCCGTGCACCCACCCACTGACCCATGAGATCATCTGGACACCTCTGATTCCATCTCAGCTCCACAGAATTCTCCCAGCCCCGTCCTTATTTGTGAGTTTTCTCCCACTGTGCACGCTGGCTCTCTCACAGCGTGTTTACTTAGTTGTGCAATCCCAGAATATACACGCATGTGGTAGTGTCAGAGCCAGTAAGCCCTCTCCTGTGAAAAAGAAACTTTCCGGTATAGTATTTGTATCCAGCTCTTTTTCCTTTTTTAAAGATTTATTTTTATTTATGCATACAAGAGCTGGGGTACAGGCCAGAGGTGTCGAGGTGGGGGGACAGTGGTGGTGAGAGGATTCACCAGAGACAGAGTGGGGAGCAGAACAGGCAGACTGACAGAAATCCACTGCTGAGGGGAGCAGCGGGCGAGGCAGGAGAGGTCTGCTGCGCCTTGTGGGTTGCTCCCTGGCCGGGTTTCGAATTTGTGCTGCAGAGGCTGCGGACAGCTTCATAGTGCCAGCTTCATAGTGCGGTGCTTAACCCCTTGCGCCACCAGGGAGGCCCCTGTATCCAGCTCTTTTCACCTTTACCCTCTTCCCGAGTTTCCGGGCAGTCTTCTCCTCATGCCCCTTCAGTGTGCTGTGTCCTGCCTTCCCTTTGTTACAGAGCCGCCCTGATCTAAAACGGGGTGCCTGACTGTGGGTCCTCACCCGCGTGCTTAAAAGGGACTTAATACCCCGCTGCAGGCACACGCAAAAGGTTAATCAAAGGTTTATTCACAAGGGAAGGGGAAATGAGGAAATGTACAACTCAGGGAGAAAGTGGGAGATAAAGTCTTAACTGCGTCCTACCCGATCCGCCGACCTGGACTCCCAAATGGCAGCTGAGAGCGGCCGCGAGCCGTGAAGCCAGGAGGCGAGCGAGAGAGCCCAAGGCCCACGTGTCTGGTTTTTATACCCGACCTGGCTGCTTAACTCCCCCCTCCTGTCCCAGCCACCTTCCCTTTGGTGGTGACGGGATTTGTCCTTCCCAATGTCCTGATGGCTTTGGTCTGGAGTGGGGGTGGGGTCCACAAAGCCTGCGTGGGATTAGCTCAGGACATCCTTTCCCCCAACACCTCCAGGTTTTGGGTCGTGCTGAGACGCGCATACCGTGCCATGTGCCACACGGCCTTGGTTAAGCGCTCGGCTCAGATCCTTTTCCGGTTCGTAAGCATGATGATTGGGTGTTCACGCGGCTGCGTGAGATGTGCCTTCCTTAAACCTTGGTAGGACGTGGGCACATTACCCTTCTGATGTGAAATAAGAAAAAAAGGAGAAAAAAAAAGAGCTCAGCTCAGCGGCATTAAGCACATCCCTGCTGCTGTGCAGCTGTCTCTGCCCTCCAGTTCCAGAACTTTCTTATCTTCCCAAACTGGAACTCGATCCCCATTAAACACTAACTCCCCTCCCCTCCGCCAGCCCCCGGCACCACCATCTGCCTCCTCTGGGGTGGTGGCTCGTCTGGGGACCTGTGAGTGGGTCACACAGCGTGTCCTTCTCTGTCTGGTTTATTTCCCTGAGCGTCCTGTCTCCAGAGCCATCCACAGAGCGGGTGTCAGAATTTCTACTCTTTTTTTAAAGCTAAGTAATATTCCACTGGGTGGATGACATCTGCTCATCTGTCAGTGGGCACTTAGGCTACTGCCACATTTTATCCGCCGTGAGGCCTGCCGCTCCGAACGTGCATGCACACGCCTTGTGAGGAGCGATGTCTTCATTTCTCTTGGGCACACGCCTCGGAGTGGAATTGCCAGGCCAGGTGGAAACTCGATGTTGAACCATCTGAAAAGCTGCCAGGCCGTTTTCCACGGTGGCTGTGCCATCTTTACCCCATCAGCCATGCGCGTGTCCTGACTTCCACGTCCTTGCCAACGCTTGTCGTCGTCTGTATATTTTTATGCAGGGGGACAAGGCGATACTGTGATTCTGATTTCGTCATTATGTCTTTGAAGACGGAGGAAGGGGGAGGGAGAAGAGCCCTGAAGAAGGTGGCCAGCCGGGGACACGGCAGGGGGTGGGGTGCGGGCTTGTCTCCGCAGGGCCTGGAGCGGATTCCGCGCGTCCGCCTGCCCACCCCGGGGTCCCACCCGCTGGCTCTGCAGGACGCAGCAGGCCCAGCCGACAAGCGGCCTCGTACTTTGCCTTTGAATTACTGGGGAAGGTTATTCCTACAGGAGCTCAAGATCGTTTTTTAAATCTTGAAAGAAAGGATGACGGGATGGTGCTTTATTTCTGGAACTGTGTGGGAGGCAGTGAGAGGGTGGGGACCTGGCTGCTGAGGTGACTGTGCCGGCGTCCGGGCCGCTGAGGACATGTTGAGGCTGGGCGCTGAGCAGGCCTGGGCACCCTGGGGCCACAGCAGAGCTCTGCGCTCCCAGGGCCTCTGGGACACAGGGCGTGTCCTCTCCTGTTCCTGGGGCCGTGAGCCCCATCCCGATGTCAGGGGCCTGTGTTGCCTATGGAGGGTTCAGGGAAGGTCCTTCCTCATCTACCGGGATCCGGAGGCCCTGGGTGTCCTCGACGTGGGGCTGTCAGTCCAGTCTCCTGGCCTCTCCCTGTGCCTCTGTCCACACCCCCTGGTACGGACGCCTGTCATGGGTTCAGTGCCACCTCCTCCACCATGGCTCCACCTTTACCAATTTCATCTGCAAGGACCCTGTTTCCAAATGAGGCTTTTGAGGGACAGTTCGCCCCAGTACACTCAGTTTCCCACAGAGCCCTCAGGACTGAACTGCGGCGTGGACGAGGCCCAGTGGGCAGGGAAGCCGTGCCATGGCATGGGGGAGTAGGAGGGGCTTCTCCATGAAGAGGGGCGTCCTGACAGGATTCGCGGGGAGCTGTGCGAAGGGCTGCTGCTGATGCCTGCCAGCTCTGGTTTCTGAGGGTGGCTGCTCGGAGACCTGTATTGTCATTGTGGGGGCCCAGGAGGGATGGTGACACGGGGGCTCGCTGACCCAGGGAGAGGCGCTCAGCAACGGCGACTCAGAGGTGTGGCCTGGGCTATCTCTGCCTCTGGGATGAACCCGGGCACCTCCCGTAGACAGCGCTGAGCAGGCCATTCAGCCTGGTAGGGGCCTGCTCTTCGGGGTTCCCTGGGCATGAGCAACCTGAGGGTTTACAGCTGACAGGACATATTTTTTTTGGGGGGGGTGAGACCTCATAGCTTGTCTTCACCCACCAGGCCTTCTTGCTCCTGAGCTGGGATGTGGGTGGGTGGGCAGGTATAAGTGGGCCCCCAGGCCTCCCAGCACCCCCTGCCAGCCTGCTGTTCCCGTGGGCCTTTCCCTGGACTCATCCCGGCTCAGGTGTCCCTTGAGGCTTCCCAGGCCCCGCATTCTCCTGCCTCCCTGGTACTGCCTGTGTCCTCCACCCTTCAGCTTCCCGGGATGCTCTGCTCACAGGGGCGAGGGCTGGCCCAGGAGTGGCTGTGACACCTCAGGGGCACCCCCCAGCCCTGGACGTCCCCAGGGCTCGGACGCCAGACAGGTGTGCCTGTGGAGAGTAACGCAGTCCTCTCTGACTCGCCAGGTTCGTGCTGGCCGTGGGCAGCGCCGTCTTCGACGCCATGTTCAATGGTGGAATGGCCACCACGTCGACCGAGATCGAGCTGCCCGACGTGGAACCTGCTGCCTTCCTGGCGCTGCTCAAGTAAGACTCTCTGGGTCCTTCCCGGCAAGGGGTGCAGGACAGGGGCTCAGGGTGCTGGGGCTGGTGCAACGTGGACGGGGCTCAGGAAGAAAATAAAGGTCCCAGTGGTGTCACCCCAGACCCCTCAGCTCCCCGGGGACTTCTTGAATTCGCTGCACGACAGGGGACTGTTTGCATTCCTGTGTTTTTTTTTTTTTTTTTAAATGTAATTCTTATATAATTCACCAATTTAAAGTGTGCAATTCAGTGGCATTTGTTACGTTCACAGAGTTGTGTAGCCATCACCTCTAATTCTAGAACACTGCATCACCCCCAGAAGAAGCCCTCTCCCCATCGCAGTTACCCCACCCCCGGCGCTGTCCGAGGCCGTGCCGGCTCCCCTGGAGAGCCCCGGCTCGAGGTCACCCACACTGAGCGGGGACTGCCCCGTTTCCACCCTGTGTTGGCAGTTTTGAAGTAACTTGTCAGAATACTAAATTGTACCTGTCTGTCTGTCTGAAGTTTCAGGGCTTTTTTCATGTACTTTTTTTTTTTTTTAAAGATTTATTTATTTACGCACACAAGAACTGGGGTGCAGGCCAGAGATGCGGGGGGTGAGAGGATTCACCAGAGACAGAGTGGGGAGCAGAACAGGCAGACTGACTGAAACACACTGCTGAGGGGAGCAGCGGGGAGACAGGAGAGGTCTGCTGTGCCCTGTGGGTAGCCCCCTGGACGGGGATGGAACTCGTGCTGCAGAGGCTGCCGACAGCTTCACAGCGCCGTGCTTAACCTCTTGCGCCACCAGGGAGGCCCTTTTGCATGTCCTTTGAAACATACTGTAAAGGACCTTTCCAGCTGGGGGTCCATCCCAGCTCTGGGCCCCCTTCCCCCAACCCCCACTCCTTCCTTGCTCAGCTCTGAGCACGAGTGCCATGGAATGAGGTGCTGGCATGGGTAGGGAAGTGTAAAGGTTTTTCCAAACAATTAGGACGATTGTTTAAACACAGGGTTTATTTAATTTTCCCCTTTTGAGTAGGAAAAACGGTGTGATCTGATTACAGGTCAAGTCTGATGACGGGTTTGCTTGTCACCTCCATCCCTTCCGCTCACCTTCACCCCCTTCTCACTTGGCTTCTAAAATCACCATCAAGTATAATTTTTTAAAATTTTGTTCCAATTGGTTCTGTCATGTGGCTGCCCCATCACCCCCACCTCTGTGTAGCAGGTTGGGGGGCTGTGGGTGGGCCCCAGTGCCTCCCAGATCACACGCTGCGGTCGTGGGGTCAGTGCACATCTTTGTGTGCCTCCCCGCCCGGGGCCACACAGCGGCCTGATGGGACCGTCCCCGCAGCGGACCTTCCTGTAGCGCGCGCAGCCCAGAAGAGTCGTGCGCGGTGCCGGGCCGGCGCCGCTTACACTGTTTACACCAAAGGGGACAGAAACCACGATGAGCTGCCCCGCCACACCCCCAGGGAGAACTGTCACCCAGAAACAACGGAAGGTAGCGAGAGTTGGCGAGGAAGTGGAGAAGTTGGGCAGCTGCTGTGGAAAGTCTGGCGGGTCCTCAGGGAAATGAAACCTAGAGTCACCCTCTGACCAGCCGTGTGGCTTCTGGGCATGCGCCCGGGAGAAGTGGAGGCAGGTTCAGGCTGGCACCCCGCGTCGACAGCAGCGCGATCCAGCGGGGAGTGGCGGCAATCCAGGTGGCCGTGGCGTGGCCGTCCACGGGGGGCGGGGGGGCGTATTCCTCAGCCTTGAAAAGGACCTTCTGGTACACACGAACCGGTGGGTCTCGTGGGACCCGCTCGCAGCAGGGCCTCCGAGTGGCCACGCCCAGAGTGCCAGGGACAGATGGCGGGGGCCGGGGGGTTAGCGTTTCTTGGGACAGACTTTCAGGGAAGTTTGGGAAGATGAGAAAGTTCTGGAGCTGCAGGGTGGGGATGAGCTCACAACACTGTGAACGTGCTTAATGCCACTGTGCACTTGAAAATGGCTAAGGTTGGGGCCTCCCCTGGTGGCGCAGCGGTTGAGCGCTGGGCTGCGAGGCTGCCCGCAGCCTCTGCAGCGCCGGTTCGTTCCCTGGCCGCCGGCGAGGGTCCCACCAAAAAAAAAAAAGGCTAAGGTGGTCCATTTTGTTAGGTATATCTTGTAACGTAAAAAAATAAAAGTGACGCCTGTATTTTAAAAAAAGGCCCCAAACAAAAACAGTTACTGGGCGGCTGTTTGCCAAGCCCCACCTTAGAGTAAGCTCTGCGGTGGGCGCTCGCTGGGAGGCTGGCTCTGCTCTCACTGCCCCGGCTCCCGTTGTGGCGGATGTGGCTGAGCCTCCCTCCGGGCGTGAGGGGCGCCGCGTGCTCGGCGACACTGTCCGCTGCAGCTGGGGCTGCTCCCCCCGGCGGGTACATGTGGGTGCAGAGCGGTGTCCCCGGCCCTGGGGGCTCCCAAGCATCCTGCTGTGCTGTGGGCGCGTGTTCGGGGCCTGCCGGGCAGAGCGGTGTCTGTTCTCCGGGCACACCCTAGAGTGCGGGTACAGGGCCAAGTGGGGGTGCCAGGACGCCCTCCCGAGGAGCCGCCGCGGTCGCATCCCGGAGCTGCACAGGCTTCATTTCTGGCGGCTCTGCCACCGTTGCCCTGGTTTACTTTACGGACCCCAACTTCTGACCCGCATTTGGAGCCGGGTGGTGGCCTCACGCTGTCGGCCCCAGGCACTCGGCCCCGTGGTTTTGCGGGCGCGGGCTTGGCGGTGGCCCGCGTCCAGGTCTGGGGTGGGGGCCTCTGCTCGCCTGCGGGCCAGTCCCCCGAGGCGCCGCCGGGTTCCGTGTCGTCAGGGCAGCAGGCCCGCGGGGCCGGGCGAGGCGCGGGACCCCGGCTTGGCTTCTCACCGCGGATCGGGTGCCGGCTCAGGCACGTCTTCGCCCCCCCCCGGCGATGGGGTGTGTGGGGCCTGGCGTGGAGCCCGGTGGTGCGGCTGGGGTCGCACCCTGCGTCCTGCCTCCCCAGGTTCCTCTACTCGGACGAGGTGCAGATCGGGCCCGAGACGGTCATGACCACGCTGTACACGGCCAAGAAGTACGCGGTGCCCGCGCTGGAGGCGCACTGCGTGGAGTTCCTCAAGAAGAACCTCCGCGCCGACAACGCCTTCATGCTGCTCACGCAGGTGCCGCGCGCGCCCGGGGAGGGGGGGCGGTTCCCGGCCTGGCAAGGGTGGGTGGTGGGCGAGCGGCAGGGGCGGAGCTGCGGGTCCCGGTCCCTGGAGGGCCTGGGCGTGGGGCACAGCGGGGGCTCAGGTGTGGGGCAGGACGGGCAGAGCGGTCTGTCTGCATTTCTGAGTTCTCGGTGCCCCTCCGGTGTCACAGCTCGTGGCCGCCCCCTCCCCGCACCCCTGGCCGCCGCCGCCTTCTAACCCAAGACTCCCGCGGCGCTTTCTTGCGCTCTCAGGGCCTCGGCGCGGGCGGTGCTGCTGCGGGAGGGGGGTGTTGACAGGCGGGCCTGGGTGGAAGGCACGGGGTCCCCCTCTTCCCGTACTGCCAGCCCCGCCCAGCCCCACTGGGTTTGCAAACCTCTTACGGGGCAGCTGGGCGGCCGCCAGAGGGTCACTCCCAGCCACGTGCCGAGACGGGCGCCCTGGGCGCTGGCACGGGCCTGGCGCCGGCTCCTGTGGCGGGTTCCCGGCCCTGCTGGGCCCCTGCCAGACCCACCCCCAAGCTCTGATTCCTGCACACTTAGAGGGAGCACATCTCACCCGTCCCTTAGCTGCCCCCCAAGACTTGAAATTTGTGACAAGTTCTGAACCAGAGTCCATGCTCCCCGCGCCAGGCACGACTCTTCGACGAGCCGCAGCTGGCCAGCCTGTGCCTGGAGAACATCGACAAGAACACGGCAGACGCCATCACTGCTGAGGGCTTCACGGACATCGACCTGGGTGAGCCCCGTAGGACAGACACCCCCGTGTCTGGGGCCCTCTAGGGCAGGGGCTCGCTGTCCGTCGGTTGGCCTTGGCATCTGCTGCTGGGGACGGCTCCGTGGCCGGCGTGGTTGACAGCTGGGGAACCACATTCCCAAGTGCAGGCAGAGGTGGGGTGGCCCCAGCCTGGACCTGGCAGAGGCCCCGAGGCCCCCAGTACGAGCCCCGTGTGTGTTCCCTGCTGCAGACACGCTGGTGGCCGTGCTGGAGCGGGACACGCTGGGCATCCGTGAGGTGCGGCTGTTCAACGCCGTCGTCCGCTGGTCTGAGGCCGAGTGCCAACGGCAGCAGCTGCAGGTGACGCCGGAGAACAAGCGGAAGGTTCTGGGCAAGGCCCTCACCCTCATCCGATTCCCACTGATGACCATTGAGGAGTTTGCTGCAGGTGAGCCGGGTGCTGAAGGCCCTTGGGAGGCGCACCCTGTGGTGCTGTCCCGGGCCCCTGGCCCCACACGCACAGCCCGGTGTCCGCCACGGACACCGGCACCTGCCCCACACGGCCCCGGGCGGCCCAGGTTGCCGTGTCACCTGCACGAGCGCCCGAGGGCTCGTGTGGCAGTGCCACAGGGGTCGCGCTCCTGTGTCCCTACCCATGACAACCCCTTGAGGGGCGTCATGTGGCCGGTGCCTTGGGCTCAGTGACGTGGGGTGCCCAGGCCTGGGGCCTGCGGCAGCTGAGACGCACTCGGGGCCCACCCTGGGGCTCGCCTCCCTGTCTGGCAGCCTCGTGGCCAGGGCACCCAGCCCACATCGGCCCTCCCCTCCCTCCTTCAGGGGCCCCAGACGTAGCCACAGCAGCAGACTAGCACTTTTGGGGCTACACCACCCTACATGCTGCTGCTCTTTGACCAGAAGTTGAGACTCAGGCCAGCGCCTGAGCTGTCCAGTGTTGCTCGGTGCTGAGGTGACGCACGAGGTGTCCGGGTGTGCGCGGCCTGGCACCCGCAACCCCGCCTGTTCCCGCCAGGTGTGACCTCCCCTGGTCCCATCACTGCGTCCAGGTTTTCACTTCTTACTCCCCTCTGCTTCGGCCTGCCCCGGGCACCTCCCTGTGAACACGTCGCACCCCCGGCCCGAGCCTAGAGCCCTCCGCTGCTCCCTGCTGCTCCCGCCTCCCTGCAGCTGGCCCAGCTGGGGGCCGGAGGGGGTTGTACCCAAGGGATGAGTGGGTGGGCGTGTCCACCCACGTTGGGGTGGGCCTGTCCCCCACCCCGAGGGCCTTCTGCAGCAAGCCTGAGGTCATTCTGAGGTGCCAGGTGTTGAGGTTCCCCCCCCGCCCCTGCAGGCCCCGCCCAGTCAGGCATCCTTGTGGACCGGGAGGTGGTCAGCCTCTTCCTGCATTTCACCGTCAACCCCAAGCCGCGCGTGGACTTCATCGACCGGCCGCGCTGCTGCCTGCGCGGGAAGGAGTGCTGCATCAACCGCTTCCAGCAGGTGGAGAGCCGCTGGGGCTACAGCGGGACCAGTGACCGCATCAGGTGGTGGCCGGGGGGCGAGGGGCGGGCGGGCGCCGGGGCCGGGACGTGCTGCCGGGGCAGGAAGGGGTGCGCGATGGGGAGGGTGCTGAGGGCGGGGCTTCCTGGGGGCCCTGGGTCCTCAGGACCGGAGGGCTGGAACCCCATGGGGGCCACCCTCTGAGTTCTCGGGACTGAGGGGGAGGCCCCCGCTCACCGGGCACCGCTCTCTGCTCCAGGTTCTCTGTTAACAAGCGCATCTTCGTGGTTGGCTTCGGGCTCTACGGCTCCATCCACGGGCCCACGGATTACCAAGTGAACATCCAGGTACCCCGGCCCGCCAGGGTCTGCGCCGGCCCCTGGGGTGGAGGCGGGTCCAGTTCTTGGAGCTCAGGTGTCCCCAGCACCGTCGACCTTCTCATGGGCCCCGGGCTTTCTGGGGTCCCAGGGGTGGGCGCGGGGGCAGGGAGCGAGCGGCACCCGACTTCTGCCCCCCTCCCCCCCCGCCCCAGATCATTCACACGGACAGCAACACCGTCCTGGGCCAGAACGACACGGGCTTCAGCTGCGACGGCTCCGCCAGCACCTTCCGGGTCATGTTCAAGGAGCCGGTGGAGGTGCTGCCCAACGTCAACTACACAGCGTGCGCCACGCTCAAGGTGCGCCGGACCCCTCGCCCGACCCCCACCCCCACCCCGTCCTCATCCTCCGCCTCGACAGTTTGGGGCCAAGGGGCGTGCAGGGCTTCGGGCCCCGTGCACAGCTGGGGTCCTGACCACACGTGACCCCGCTCCTGCAGGGCCCAGACTCCCACTACGGCACCAAAGGCCTGCGCAAGGTCACCCACGAGTCGCCCACAACGGGGGCCAAGACGTGCTTCACCTTCTGCTACGCGGCCGGGAACAACAACGGCACGTCGGTGGAGGACGGGCAGATCCCGGAGGTCATCTTCTACACCTAGGCCGCCCCCGCCCGCCCCAGCCGCGGTTCTGGGTGTCGGCCGAGGGCCTGAGCTCCTCGCGGCGGCGGTGGGGGTGAGACAATCCCTCAGGACTGGGGCTAGGGCGGGCCTGACCCGGCCCGAGCTGAGGGTCTGCTTGGTCCAAGGTGTGGGGCTCCCACCCGCCACCGTCCCCGCGGCTCAGGCCGCCCGGCTGCCCGGCCATAGGGTCTGTGTCGATTCTGTCTCGTTCGTCTCGTCAACTGCACACGGCAATGCATCTGGTTCCCATTTCTCCGGCAGGAGGCGGCGGGGCCTGTGTTCTCTTGTCCCGTCCACTGGGAGTGCCCAGGCCTGCCACACGCCGAGGCCTCACGACCTCAGCCCTCAGGGCCCTGGTTGGAGTCCCGGGGAGCGGGGTGGAGGAGGGGGCCGAGGCCCACTGGGGGCGCTGTTGGTCCAGTGAAGGGCAATCCCCTGGCCTCTCTGGACAGGCCTGTTCCAGCCCTTGCAGCCAAGGGCACGGCCTCAGGCCTGGTCCGGCATGCTATGGGCCGGCCACAGTGGCCAGTCCCCGCCGCACCCCCTGTACATACTGTAACCCACTTCCCTGCCCCCAAGCACTGTCCAGAGATGCTGAAGGGTACACAGCCCCTCCCCCGCCCGGCACTGTCCCGCCCCACCCATGTTTCTGCCCCGGTGATTCCTTCTGGAACCTGTGCCCTCCCTGAAGCCATGGAAGGTGTGCCCTCCTCACACCACACCCCAAAATGATTTTTTTAAATAAAGGAAAGAAATTCACCAGCCCTGACCCATGTGTTTCTCCCTCCAGCCCTGTCCGAGCCCGTGGGACCCCGGCCGCGCTGGGGCCTGGTGGGGGGAGGGGCCCCTTCTCTTCCCCTACTGGAAATAAGCGGGGCTGGCTGGGCAACCCCTGCCAGCATCTGGAAACTGACATCTGGGCATTCACACAGCACTCGACACCCTGGGTGAGCTGCAGACCCTTCCTGTACCCTCTGCTCCTGCCCGAACCCTCTGGGCACCGGCCCTGCGGGGCAGTGGAGGGGCCTGCAGCGGGGGCGCACAGCTGCAGCAGGTGACAGCCACCCAGGGGGCAGTGCCCGCAGGCCCCAGGCTGCCCGAGCAGGCCCAGGAAGTGCCCAGGTGGGGCCCGGGATACCTGAGCGACCTGACCTGGGGGCCCTGCCAAGATGACGGCGCCGCACGCCCCCAGAGGAGTAAAGACGTCAATCTGCAACAGGGTGGTCCCCAGGAAAGGGGGAGGTTCCCTGCCGCTGCCCCTCTCCCTGTCCTATAACAAATCCACGGATCTAAAACAGTGACCCGGAGTGGGAGATGAACGAGTCGCGCGGGCGCGAGCCGCGGCAAGCCAGAGGCAAGGCCCCTCAAGCCGCAGCCCGGAGAAAGCAAGCTCTGGCGCGCAAGCTGCCCTTCGCAATGAAAACAAAAGCAAAAGATCAAGTCAACAGAAGATGAAAAGCCCCGGGGCGGCCCCGCACCCGGGCGGCGGCCCCAGCCCGCGCACCTGCCCCAGCGCCCGCCGCGCCCACCAGGCCCACCGCGGCGGCGGCAGCAGGGGAGCCGCGGGGCGGGCGCCCAGGCGAGGAGGGGCCGGGCCCGCGAGCTCACGCACCGCGGCGGCGCCAAGTATTCAAACCAAGACAAACGACAGCACAAAACGACAGCTGGGGACGGCGCCAAAGTCGCACGCGGACGCGGGACCTTGGGGATCGGACCGCGCGGAGCCCACGCACGGCGGCCGGGGCGGCAGCCGGAGACGAGCAACGCCCCAGACGGCGACAACCAAGCCCTGCGCGGGCAGCACAGGCCACACAAGACACGACATGCCCACGAGAAAACACCCAGACGATGCCCGTTAATGAACCAAAATTCGTCGCTCCTGCAGCCCAGAAGGAGATTTATACTGTTTAAAAAAAAAAAAAAAAGACCGAATCACTGGCCCAAGCTTTTTTTGTATCAAGAAACTAGAAAATTAATAAATCAACTCAAAAGGAGAAATGACAAAATGGGAAACAGCAACACACGGAGCAAACCATTAGCTGGTGCTTTGGCTGAAACAGCAACAACAAAAGCCTCTCCAGACAGACGCCGCCGCCCCTGTGCGGCCTGGAGGGGCGCAGGGGGTGCGGCTGAGGACACGCGGGCCGCTCCCCGCCAGCACACTCGCCGCGGCGGCCCCCCCCCCACCGTGGCTGGTTAAAAAAACCCCGAGGGGCAGCACGTCCTGTGGCGGCTCCAACCACACACGAGGCCGAACTCCCGGCTCGCCCGGCTCCCCGGCCTCTGCCCCCCTCACAGCTGCTTCCCTCGGGCCAGACGCCCTCCCCCGCCCGCCCGCCCCGCAGCCTCCCCGGAAGCCCCGCCAGGGCGTGTCTGGTTCTGCTCGTCTTCCCGGACGCCCCTCACAGGCACCTTCACCTTCACCTTCCCGACAGCCGCTTCCCGAGCTCGCGTTCTCACGGCTGCCTTTGGGCCTCGGCTTCGTGGTGGTCTCCCGGGGAGCCGGGGCCCCACCGGCGGGGGGAGCAGCACGTTCCGGTTCTGCGGCACATTCCCCTCTGCTTCCGGCCACGGCGGCCGCCCCTTGGCCTTTGCCCCTACAAGGGCCACCAGAAGGCGGGTGGCGGGGGTGGGTTTGGGGGCTTTCTAAGCGCCGGCGGGTTTTGCAAGTGTCTGGTTTTCCTTTTTGCGCGTCTGTGCTGGCCAGGGAGAAAAGGGGGCGCAAAGCAGGGACGGCCGTCACCTTCGACTACCTGCAATTCCTCCTAGATCTGCTTCCCAGAACTGCGGACGCGCCCCGCGGCCGGCCCGGCCGCCCCGTCGGCTCGCGCTGCAGTGAGAGAACACCCGGGACGCGGCGCCTAAGCCTCGCTCGCTCCTCGCCGTTCTAGGCCAAGGCGGAGGCGGGGGCGGCGTGGTCCAGTCCAGACGTGGCCGGCCCGGGTCTGCAGGCTCCGCTCGTGCTCTCGCGGGGGCACGCACACACCAGGCCCTTCCTGCCCCTGTAAGGCCGCATCCCGGGCCCCACCTCATGACCTCCTCACCTCCTCGCCCCCCCCCTCGCCCCGGGCGCCAGGTTATCCTTGCCCTGCACGCTGGGGATGCGGACGGGCCCGGCGTCTCTGCTACCGTCAGGGACCGCCGGGCTGCGGGGGCGCCCCGCTTTGTGCTGCGCTACCTGGATCCGGCTGGTGCCTGCGGCTCCTGGAAAAATCAAGCTGCTTCATTTAGGGTTCAGGGGTGTGCGGACTCTCCAACAGAACTTCCCGGCCCCGGTCTTGTATCTGTGGCCTCCCCCCTTCTCATCCTGCACATCCCACTGCCCCAGCCTCCCGCCAAAACAAGCCCAGCCCCTCCCCTCACTTCCGTTCGGGTCCTCTGCTGTCACCGCCTCTCCTGAGCATCCTGTCCCCTCCAAGGGGCTTGGCCATCCGGACCGCGCCCGTGTCACCAAGCCTCTCGGGACACCACACTTGGGACGGGTTTCATTTTCCTTTATTTTTTTTTAAAAAAGCCCCTAAGTTCTATGGCTTCCACGAAGCATCGGAGAAACCGAAGTGCCATTTCTGTACACTTTGTAAAGCAAGACTTAGACGCACACGCGCCTGGGAAACCGCCGCCGCCTGGGCGCCCCCAGCCGCTTCCGCCGCTCGGGCCTCTGGGGACTGGCGGGGACAGCGCCCCCCATGGGCGGCCCTGCCTGGCATGTGCCCGGGGGCTGGACAGGGATTTAAGGCGCTTGTCTCCTGCGGCTGTGCGGGCGGCGCTGAGTGGACACCAGCAGCCCATGCACACGGCCTCCGGGATGGGCAGCCGTGGGGGAGGCCGGCCCCGGGGCAGGAACCCGCTCCCAGGGCCGTGGCCGCCGCGCCCAAGCTTTGGTGCAGCATTTTGGTTGGAGGCCGTCGCCACCCCGCCATCCCCTTTAGTGTCGGGAGGCCCAGGAGCGGGTTCACCCCACAGCAACACCCCGCAGCGCCCCCTCCAGAAAACGGCCTTTGGATGAGGGAGACAAGCTGGACTTTATGACACTAACGGGGCGGCGGCCGGACGGCGCTGCGTGCTCCTCGCTCGTGCGCGCAGGGGGGCGCGGGGCCGCGGCCGCTGTGTTCTTTCCTTGTTTAAATAGTTAATGCTCTCGGGGGGAGACTAAACACAGGTGTAGAAATTTTGGCCAAAGTCTACGTGAAGGAAGTGGCCCGTGGGGGTGGGCAGCTCTGGCCGGCCCCGCAGTCTGCGTCCCAGCTGGGGTCACACACCTGTGGACACACCCGCCCGAGGGGGGCAGCAAGAGGATTCAGGGCACCACACGCTCCGGCTCACTTGTGTCGCTGCATCGATTTTCTCTTTCTTCTCTTGAAGAAACAGCAGCACCTGCGAGGGTGGGAGGGTGTGAGAGGGGGTGGGGGCGCCCAGGGCACCCCCCAGTGGCGGCCCAGGCCTTACTTGGTGTCATCCGCCACCTCCACCTCTGTGGGCGCTGTGATGGGGGCGTTGGAGTGACCGGCAGTGGGGTCGTCTGCGTTCAGCTCCCCGTTAGTGGAGTTTAGCGCCTGGGGGGTTGGGGAAGCAGGAGTCAGGTAGGCTGAGCGCTGCCCCCACGCCCCACCCCTTCCTCAGCCGGGCCCCTCACCTGGTTTTTGCTGTGTAGCTGGGCTTTGTCTCGAGGCTGAGACTGCGAAGGCAGGTCGGTGTGGACCGTGCCGATGGGCGTCGGCTACAGAGGGCAAGACGGGCACTGAGACGCTGCAGCCTCTCCTCCCCTCAGCAGGGCCAGCCCATGGGCAGAAATCCCCCACCCACATCCAGGGCCCTCCTTCTGACTCCCAGAGTCCTCCCAACCCCATCCGGGGCCCCACCCGCCCCCTTCCAGAGCACTTCCCCCACATCCACCCACTTCAGTTCTTTCCACACACCACAGGTATCCACCCCGCCCAGGGCTCCCCTCATGGCCGGGGCTCTCCCCCAGGTGCCAGGGCCCCACGTACCAGGGGCTTCCCAGCCCAGTCGTACTCATAGTCAAACACGAAGCCGCTGCGGTCAAACAGGTCGGTGAAGAGCTTGCGCAGGTAGTCATAGTCCGGCTTCTCGAAGAAGTCCAGGCGCCGCACGTAGCGCAGGTACGTGGCCATCTCCTCTGTGGGGAGCCAGCAGGGCCGGTCAGGCGGTGGCAGCGCCGGGGAGCCGTGGGGCTCTGGGCGAGGACTGGGGGCGGGGGAAGCAGGCCTCACCTGGGAAGCTCTCACACAGCACCTCGATGGGAGTGGCCCGCTTGGTGTCCCCGATCTTCTGGTAGCGCTCCTTGAGTGTGTCGGCCTGCGGGGACGGCAGTCAGGGCCTACCCTTGCGGGCACCCCTGCCCCGCCCCGCCCGGCCGGCCCAGCCCACCTTGAGGCCCTGCCAGGGCAGGCTGCCCCGCAGGAAGTACATGAACATGTGGCCCAGCGCCTCCAGGTCGTCGCGGCGGCTCTGCTCTGGGGTGGGGGGGAGGGAGTCAGCAGGGCCTGTGACGGGGCGCCAGGCCCTGCGGCCCTCCTTCCCGCGCCCCCGCACTCACCCTTGCCCAGGTGCGTGTTGATGCTCATGTAGCGCGCGGTGCCCGTCAGGCTCTTGTGCTCGCGGTACGGGATGTGCTTCTTGGTCTCGGGGTCGATGTACTCCTTGGCCAGGCCGAAGTCGATGATGTGGATGGCGTGCTGTCTCTTGGTGCCCGGGCGCCCGACCAGGAAGTTCTCGGGCTTCACGTCTCGGTAAATGAGGCTCTTGGTGTGCACGTACTCCATGCGTGTGATCTGGGGCAGGGGCACGCTCAGCGGCTACCCTGGGCCCCCGCCCGCCCTCCCCGCCCCCCGCGCCAGGACCCCCAGCGCACACCAGCTGGATGGCGATCATGAGCACCGTCTTCAGCGTGAACGTGCGGTCACACAGGTCGAACAGGTCCTCCAGGCTGGGCCCGAGCAGCTCCAGCACCATGGCGTTGTACTTCCCGCAGGGGCCGAAGTAGTAGACCTGGGGGACGCCCTCTGCAGACCACACAGGCGCGCGCTGCAGCAGGGCGCGGGCGCCCACCCGCCCCCTCCCGCCCCTAGGCCTGACCTCCAGTCTGGCTCCCCGCCACCCGGCCAGGGTCCCCCCCCCTTTCACACCCAGCCCTCGCCCCTCCCCACAGCCCGGGCTGGCCGGTACCTGTGGCGCTGAGCTGCTTGTAGAAGCGGTACTCCAGGTGCAGCTGCGGCGCCCGGGACTTGATGGGCTCCTGGGGGAGCAGGCAGACGGTCACCCGGACTGTGGGCACGCCGCTCCCTCCACCCGAGACCCTCAGGGCCTAACAGGAGGTGGCCCCTGGAAAGCCCCTGCTGGTGCCACCGGGTCGGGCCCTGGCTGGGGGTGGGGCAGGAGGCCAGACTCACCAATTTGATAGCTACGTATTCATTTGTATAGAGATTCTTTCCTGCGGAAGAGAGGTTCGTCAGGACAGCGGAGCCCCCTCACCCCACGGCAGTCAAGGGGCCGGGGGGGGGGGGGACCCACTCTCTCCAAGGGGGACCTCCTATTCCTGGGGCAGCCATCTTGAGTTTGGCACTGCCCTTCCAAGTCCTGAGACAGGACCCAAGGCACCCCGCTGTGGTGCGTGCCCCCCTCCTTCCCTTATCTCCTGGAGCGCCACCCTGCCTTCCTGCTGTCTCCTCTCCTACCCCCACCCCCGCCCCCATAGCGCCCCTGAACTGTGTCCATCCCTCCTGAGGCAAACCCTGCCTCTGCCTCAAGAGGCTGCTCCCAAGTCGTCTGTGGGACCCCTTCCTGCCTGCACGCAGCACACTCCACCCCCCCATCTAAAAAAGGGGGAACAAAGACGCCGTGACCCCTTGGCCTCTGTGGGGAAACCGGAGAACTGGCGCCCTCACCCCCCCCCAGACTCCGCGAATCACTGACCCCTACGCCATTTACCTACAGTCTACCCCTCCGGGCTCCCAAGAACGCCCGAGGACTGGCACCCCCAAACTCATCTTCCTTTTCCTGGGCACCTTTTCCACCCGGACCTGCCTGGTAACTGCGGATGTGAATGTCTGCTAGATGCCCCCCCCCAGGGCACCCATTCCATCCACCCACCAGGCTCCCCGAACAGGGGCCCCGGGTAGAGGCCGCGGCCAGGGAGGCTGTCCCATCACCCAGAGGACTTCCCCGATGCGCGCTGTGCAGCCTCTTCCGTACTCCAGCCACAGCCTGCTCCCTGGGCATGGACTCCTCTCAGGTCAGGAAGGTAGGAACAGGCCTTGGCACTGCCCAGTACCGGCATCCCACCTCAACTCGTCAGCTGAAACCCTGCCCTGCGGCACCCCACAAACGCTGGAGAGGTGGGGTGTTTGGGGGCTCAGGGCTCCAGGAAGGGTCCTGCCTTCCCATGGAGGACCGTGGAACTCGGGCCACGCGCCCTGCATTGTGTGCCCCACACCCACCCGGCTTGGTGATCAGAGGCCCCTGCCACCAGCTGTCCTGCCATCCTGGAGTCACCTTCTCCAGGCCCCTGAGCCCCGCTCCTCCAGGAACGTCACGCGGCATCACCCAGTGGCTGCTTGCTACTCCCAAGTGGGCACCATCGTGGGAGATGCCACTGCCCTCTGTTGGGGTGCCCCATGCACGGGTTCCTCCCCACCCACGTGGTGGGAGAGACACTGCTCACAGGCAAGGGCTCCCCACACCCGCCGCCAGTCCTGCCGCGGCGCTGGTATGGAGGCATCCTTCTGTCCGGCCGCTCCGGGCCCCCTTCCAACTGCGGTGTCGTCCGCTGTTCTACTCCAGACCGCCGAACGCGCGGGGGAACCAAGGCGCGTGTCCTGGCAGTAGCCACCCAGCCAGGTGAGGTGCGCACGGGTGCCCAACAATTCGGGGCTCCCGGAGGTTTGGGGCGCTGGCTATGGGTGTTGTTTTGCAATGTTTATTTTCCAGCTGCTGCTGGAAGGGCGCGTCATTGCTGGGCCATGCCAGGCTGAGTCAGGGCCGGGCTGTTCTTCCCCAAATTCCACGTCTCTCACGTCTACTTCTCCCCGTGCGGGTGCCGCGGGCCCGCTCCTTGCTGTAAGCAGAGGCCGCTCACAGGCCTGTCAGCAGGGGCGGAAGCTCCTGTCCAGCCTTGGCTCCTGGAATTTGAGGGAACCAGCACGGTGCTTTATTATGCGACCTCAAGCACGCAGCCGGCCACCGGAGAAACGGACAGGGCGCCCTGCGCCCGGACTGGCACCGTATGTCTAGTGCATCTTGAGCGACGACAGCCCCCCGCCCCCTGCAGAGTCCACGGTGCGCTCACATTTCCTGCCTCCCCGCAAGAGGCGATTTTTACCTGTGAAGGGCGCACACCTGTAAATGTCCCACAAGACAAACCATCACCACACTCTGGAAAGTTCCCTCGTGCTCCCTTCCTGGTCAGTCCCACCTTCACATCCCAAGAGGCAGTCCCGAGGCAGAGCTTCAGCAAGTTCTCCCTGTGCACGGCGAGGAGCGTTGGGCCGTCCCAGCACCTGCCCAGACACCGCAGGACACCAGGAGTTTGCAGGGAACTGGCCACAGGCCTTTCCGGGCAGCCCCCAGGGCTGCTGCCCAAGTGGAACTCGAGGCGAACTGCATCCCACGGCAGGCAAGGCGGAGCCCTCTGTGCGCTGGCGACTGCGAAGGGCTCAGCCCTCCTGCCTGGTTTTAACCGGAGCATCGTTCTTCACCACGAAGGGCCCGCAGCGTGTCCCGACAGCGGCTGGGGCAGGCGGGCGCCACCAGAGCCTTTCCCCGGGCTGCGCTCCTCTGTTCCTGCTCTTAGCAACGGGCTTTGATAAATTCTGATGCCGTCTAACTGATCCTTCATGGTAACTGGTCATTCTTTCCTGTGTCCTGTTGAAGAAACCATCACGCTCGATGGCACATGAGTTCTGGGAGAGGCGGAGCGCTGAGGGCCCAGCCCAAGTTTAAAGTTGTATGAGAATGTTCATGAGCGTGTGTGTGAGACGGGTCAGCGTGACAGTGTGAGCGTGCACGTGCACACATCCACGGCCAGCTTCAGGTCTAGATTCCGGCGCCCTGCGGGAGTTTAGGAGCCCAGGCGCCCTGTCTGGCGTGTGAGCAGGCCAGTCTGCGAGGCCTCACAGAGAACAACTCCAAGAGCTGTGAGAAGGCGTGAGGGCGTCCCGAGGCGAGAAGCTGCTGGACCTGCAGGCATGCAGAGCACAGAGTTCCCTCCCGCCCAAGAAAACCCTCCCAAACATTCAGCCGAGAACCCACGAGTTAGGAGAGGGGTGACTCCAGTCCTGTGCTCAGCCTGCCTCGCACAGCCCTGCTAGTCCCTGACGGAAACAAGAGAGCCCCAGGAGAACGCGAAGCCCACGCTTTTAGCAGGCAGCTCCCACAAGGTCCAAGACATACAACAAAACATCAGGAGAAACAGGACTGTGGCAGGAAAATCAAAGTCAAAGGTGCCACAGGCATTGGCTTTTAAGCAGCTGCTGCAAGTGTGTTCACAGGAACAAAGGAAAAGCTGGCCACCACGACCGAGCTGACAGGGCCTCTCCACCGGGAGTCAGATGGAAGCAACAAGCACCACGCATGAAAGGGGGAATTCCCGGAGGACGGAACAACAGACTGCAGTGTGCAGAAAAGGGCCGCGAACGGGCTAGAGCAGGAGCAACCGACTGAAGCAGAGAGGGAAAGTGGCAGAACACGGAAGAGTCGGAGGGGCCTGTGAGGCAGCAGCCAGCGCCCTCACACACGCGTAACCGGGGCCCGATTATGAAGGAAAGTATGAGTGAGGCATAAAAAATGCTTTTCCAAATTTAATGAAAAAGGTGTCAATATACAGATCCAAGCAGCTCAAGGAAGTCCAAGCAGGGCAGCACAGAAGCAGCCACGCCCACGCGGAGCGGCAGCCAATTCTGAAGGCAAACATCAGAAGAAAACCTTCAAGGCAACCAGGGGACCCACTGCAGACAAGGAAGAACGCGGAACGTTCGTCACCAGGGAAGCCCAAGTAAAGCCCCACATGGAAGACCACGCCACACCCGCCAACTCGTGCTAAGTGGCAAAGTCCAAAACCCCAAGTGTCAGGGAGTCTGTGTGCGCCCCAGGACCCTCCTGCACTGGAGTGTGAGTTCACGCGGGAGTGGCCACACTGGAACCCAGCCGGGCGGCTTCCCAAGCACTTCCATGTGGCCCAGCGCGTCCATGGAAACACAGCACAGAAACTGGGGGGGGAGATGTGCAGCGCGGGGGTGTCTGTGAGGCCCAGATTGGGACACGGCGACAGCCCTAAGCAGGCAGGCGAAGGAGCAGCACAGGGCAGACCACTGCCCCCGGAGCACCGGAGAGGAATTGGCTACGGACACCCTCCAAACTGCGGTGAGCCAAAGCAGTCAGGCAGAAAAGAACACCTCGACTGGAAAGAAAGGTGCAGGTGGGAGCCGCCCACCGCCCTCGGCACCCCCTCCTCTGTGCTGACCAGCGCCGTGTAGGCTGTTGCTCTGCCGCCCAAGGACAGGCCCCCACAGGCTCGCTTTGGCGAGCGGCCGAAGCGTGTGGTGCCCTGCCCACCGCAGAGGTGGGTCCGGGGTATGTTGGCGCGTGCCCATCTGTGTGCTGCCTGCCTGTGTGTGCATGCAGGACCCGGCACACACGTGTGCGTCCTCCAGTGGGGCGGCAGGGTCAGGCAGCTATCCGGCTCGCGTTCACGGCAGCCTCAGAAGCGAGCGTGGTGGCCTAGCATCAGTCCTGCTGTCCTTCCCACCAGCGGAGCCCGGGCCCCAGCCCTAACGACCTGCTGGCTCAGAAGCCACAAGCCTGGGGCTTCCCGATGCCACAGACAGAAGAAGCAAAAAGACTGTGGCCCCAACCCATCCCGGCAGCCTCCAGAACAAGCTCGGGTGTGGCTCTAGGGCGGGACATGTTCTCAGCCAGCCACTCAGGACGCTGGGCACGTCAGGAGAGCACAACTGGCCGCCGGACGTGCGTCCAGGGGTCCCCACAGCCCCTGAGAGCCAGCGCGGGAGGAGGTGAGCACGCGTGCACCTGAATGCACGGACATGTGTCACAGGGTGGTTTTTTTGTCGGCCCCTGAGCACAGAGGGCCCAGACCCCAAAAGGACTGTCCTTGGGCCTCAGGCCGGGACTGCGCGTCCACCCCTCTTCCTCGGCCTTGCTGGAGAGAGAAACTCACAGAACTTACCTGTGTTCCCGATCTGACGACTCAGGCAGAACGAGAGGGTGTGGCTCCGGCTGGCGGCCTTCCCACCCTCACCCCCAGGCCCCCCGGTGCGTGGGCTCACCTAGCCGGAGCTCCCCGAAGTTGCCACAGCCTATCTTCTTCCCGACACGGAAGTTGGGGCCCACCATCAGGACCCCTGAGCCGGTCCCCGCACTCCGGCCGCCGTGGCTGGTCCGGCCGCCGGCCTTGGACATCCTCCGGCCCTCCTCCGACTCCCCTTTCCCTCCTTTCTTGTCAAAATCCATAAGTTTGTGGTACCCTGGCCTCTCCACGGTTACTCTGCTGCGGTGCAAATCCCGGGTCTGCGGAGACCTGTGCTCTCGGTGGCTCCTCGGGACTAACACACCATGGGGCCCGGCGCCTGGCGTCCCCACGGGCTCCCGCTAGTGAGACGTGGGCACACGCGCTGGCCGGGCCACGGCACTCATCTTGGTGGCCTCAGGGTCGGGAGAGGAAAGAGGACACATTCTGCTGACAGGTCCCGCGCCGCCTCAAATCTCGTAGCTACCGGCTGGGGAGAAACAAAGGCAGGGTCAGGGCACTCCGCCACCGGAGCGGCCACATACAAGGACACCACCACAGCGGCTCGGGGATGGATGAATTCTGGAAAGATCTCAGAAGGCCTGACCCTCCACTTTCTGGGGGGACAGAGAGGTGGCTGGCTGGGGGTCTGTCACGTGCCCAGCCGCCTCCAGGATGATTGTGGAGAGGGGGTGAGGAGTGGGGAGAGGGTCCCGGAGCCTGGGAGCCAGGATGGGAGGAACAGCTCGTCTCCCCAAGGCTGAGGGCAGGTGAGAGGTGAAGAACAGAAAGTACCTGTGGTGGGAACAGCGCCCACCCCGTGACATGGGGGAGACGAGCCATGACCCTACGGCCACGGTGTCAGGGGCCACGCGGAGAGCAAGGCTCAAAGGAAGGGCTGCCAGGGCAGGTGAGGGGGGCCGTGCCACGGGCACCGGGAGGGCCAGCCGCCCCGCCAGACCGGGACGGAGTCCTCTAAGATGCAACTTGGCCCGAACCCCGGACTCCCCCACCTGCCCGTGGCCCCCGACAGCTCTCGTCCCCACCAGCACTGTCCCACCGGCCCTGGCTGCCTCCTGTCCCCTCACACCAAAGGCCAAAGGAGTCTCTCTTAAAAAAGCCAGTCTGCTGCCTGCCCCGCTCATGGCGCCCCGGCCCTGCCGGGTGCTGGTGTGACATCAGAATGACTGAGGGAGGAGGGAACACACAGGCACTGGGGGGGGGGGAGACACGGACCAAAGGGCCGCGTGGGGGAGCGGCAGGCTCCTCACCAAGAGGTGGCACGCCTTGGCGGTGAGGGCGAGGGAGCAGACACCATGTGGACACAGCCCCCCGGCACACGGCACCCCTCCCAAGCGGCCTCCCGGCACACACCAGCACTCAGCGAAAGCAAGTCAAGGGTGGCAGCATCCCCGGTGCCCCCAGGCGGCTTTGCTACCTGCCCTGATGGGGAGCCCCTAACCACCACCAGGGGCCTGGCCAGCTGCAGATGGACCAAGGGGCCAGCCAGCCACCTCCCGTCACATGCGAGCGAGGGCGGAGTCGGGGTGACTCGATACCATGACCCTGAGCCAATCAACCCGGGGCCCAAGGCTGCCCTGACCTGCGGCAGGGATGAGGCCCTCAGGTGATGAGAGAATCTGAGAGTGGGGGGTCTCCAAGGACCAGAGCAAGGGCAAAGCCCCATGGGGCGTGATGCGGGAACACACCCTCCCACGTTCACCCGCACTCGCGTCCACACCTGCACACGCACACCCCCGCGCGCGTCCACATGTTCCCGAGCCCAGTCCCCGCAGCCTTCCCTCTAAGAAAGCCAGGGCGGGTGCCTGGACTACAGGTTGGAATTTTCTGGACAGGCAGCAGAGTCTGTCTACAGGATGGAGACGGGCTCATGGCTGCCCTGACTGGCTGTGTAGACAAGCCCCCCCCGGCCTCCCGAGAACCACCTCGGTGGCCCCAGCCCCGGCCAGCCCTGGGACCAGCTCACCCAGGCTGGCCCTCTCCCAAGCTGTCCTGACCGGGGACCACCCGAGCAGAGTGAGATCGGACCTGGCACACGGCGTGCCAGCTTGTCTGAACGCAGCTCGACACTCGTGGCTGGTGCCATCTGCACTGCGGCCCACGGCCCAGCGGAAGCTTCCCAGCCTGCTGCCCAGGCTGTGAACGGGTAGCAAAGGCCCAGAGTGGGAGAGGGAACACCCACCCCACAGACCCTGATGGGCCTTCCCCAGCCGGTCTCAGAACGTCCAACGAGGGGAGGAGGGAGCCTGCGTGGACCTGGCGACCCTCAGGTGCCTCCTCCGGGCCCTCGCCCCTCATGCTGGCGGCTGGCAGGTGCCATTTCAAATTGTTTGCTCCCCCCGAAGTGGGCACGTGGGGCAGCGCTGACCAGCCCCTCTTGTCCTGAGTCAGCTGAAGGGGATGAGGGCTCAAGGTCAAGAATCTGGGCGTCAACAGTGACCATCGCCAGGCACATAAACACACACCGAGAAACCGAAGCAACAACTCAGAGCTCAGCCCTTCTGCCTCCCCCTCCTTCAGGGACAAACGCCCTGCGACGGCACACTTACTGCTTCCACCAGGACCACGCGCTACCCTGCAGGTCCCAGCGCAGAGCCGTCGGGGACGGGTTAGGGTCAGAGCCGATGCACTGCAGGGTCACCGTCCACAGCTCGAGCACTGAGGCCCTTGGACATGCGTGGCAAGTTTCCACGCTAGGTCTCCTCCTCAGGTAGACAACGATCCAGTGAGCGGTGCGTGGCACTGGCCTCACAGGAAGTCACCAGCGAGGCCACAGGGGGTCTGGTGACATCAACAGCTGTGCCTGTGCGGTGGTTATACCATACTGCTGTTCTCGCCGTGCGCCACGCCTGCTGTGCAGGACACTGGGCAGGGCGAGGCAGAGCACTCCCAAGTGAGGGATGCTTCCCGCCCTGGGGGCCAGCCCAGACTCATTGCACCCGCAGGTGCCCCTGGCCATTGGGCACAAAGGAACAAGGCCTGGCTGGCTTTTGGGGTGGTCCCTCGGATGGGCATGGGACCAGCGAGGGTGAGACGTGCTCTGCAAGGATCCTGCCTCCCACGCCCCACTGGCTATGTCCCTGGACACAGCCTACACGGTGAGAGGGTGAGGAGCTTCGGGGATGGTGGCCAGGCCCCCCAGGATGGACTCCCAGGTATCTGGGGACCTACCTGCCTACACCTGGAAACAGCAAAGTCCCTTCCGATGCACCTGGGGTTCCGCCTAAAGGCTGTTTATGTAACAGCATGTCACCGCAAGTCTCCCTAACAAAGCCGAAACCACCTTCCTCCTCTGCCTCCTGCTCCCAGGTGAGGGGGGTGAAGCACGTGCACCTGGCACATCGGGGCGGCAGAAGCGTCCCAGAGAAAAGTCAGAGCACCTCGACCAGGAGGGTGGACGCCTCACACTTGTATTTGGAGTTCCCAATTTACATCACTCCAGAACACTCCAACACCCCAAAAGGAAGTCGCGTGCCCGTCGGCAGTCACCCCCCGCCCTGGCTCCCCCAGCCGACTCTGTGGCTGGGCCCGTCCTGGACGTTTCTTGTCAGGAACTCACGCCGCGTGGCCCTGTGTGTCCGGCTTCTCTCCCTGAGCGTCGTGCGTCCAGGGTCCCTCCCGGTGGTGTAAGTGGCAGATATGCCCCCCTTGGCAAACTATTTTAATTGCCCGAAAACTGCCCAGGTGCTCTCCAGCGGGTGCCGCCACCTCACACCCAGGGCCATACAAGGGCCGAGTCCTCCCAGTCCTTCCTGCTTGTTTTTGGTTACAGGCATGAGGCGCTTCCGAGTTCCATGTCCTGACACACGCACCTTCCACTCACCAGAGGCCACAGCTCAGCCCCGGTGCCAGGTCCAGGCAGGGGAGGTGGCAGAAAGCCCGAGTGGGTGTGATGAGGCCAAGCCCCTGCCGGGCCTAAGGACCCAGAGGACGAGCCCCTTCTCAGGGTCCCCTTTGTGTCCTCACCCGAGGCCCCTCTCAAAGTCCAGGGTCTGGTGACACTGTTCTCTGCAGAGACTGCGGCAGCAGCGCCATGCGCGGGGCTTGATGACAAGCACGCTCCGTACCCTGCCCTCCCCCGTCTCTGCAGAGAAGGAAACCGAGGCTGAGCGTTGAGGCAGCCAGTCACAACACGGCCTGGCCACACAGGACCCAGGGCCGGCTGCGGGGCTGGTGTTCTCAGCCTGCGCTACAGCGGGTGCTGCCCCACGCCTGTGCACCTCCACCCCCGAAGGCCACATTTTGAGGAACTCCTGGTCCAGAAGGGGGACTTCCAACCAGCAAGGGCGCCCCTCCGTAAACACACTCCCGGCAGCTGGGGGGCGGGGCAGGAGCGGTGAGGACCCTCCGAGGCAGGGACTGCATGACAGAGCACAGGGGCACTGGAGGGACTTCGGGAAGGGGTGTGAGGGTCAGTGCTTGGTGCTGGTCCCACGTTCTGCGGTCTGCTTAGGACTTGTGGGCAGCAAAGAGACAGCAGCCAGGTGAGTCTGTAACGACCCCACCTTAGACCACCACGATGTGAGTGACCCTGACAGTACCGGAGGGCCTGACGGTCCTATCTGCCCCATTTGCTCCAGTGACACAGAGCAGGTGAATGGCCGCCATGAGCCACTATCCCCAGGCACAGAGGGCACAGGAGGCAGAGGGCAGGAGCCTATGGCTCCAGGAGCAGCCTGAGGGCTTCAGTCCTCTTATCTACTGACCGCAGGTCAAGACCCAAAGGGCAGCAAATTCAAGAGGCTCTGGAAGACAGACCCCAGCATGCCCTAGGCCACACCACCACCCATGGGTGGCACAGGGGCAGTCCACTTCCTCTCCTAGGCAGCAACTGCAAGCCACACACTGGCTTGTAGGGGAGGGGGAACATAGAGGGGCCTCTGGAGTTGGACTGTGCCAATGGCCACACCTGGGTGGAAATGGTAGCCCCAAGATCTCAGGGGAGCAGATATACCATGTGACCTCTGTCCTGGCCCTGGTCCCAGAGCTAGAACTAAAAATAATCACACTTGGGGATGGCCTCCCCTCTCACAGGATCAAAAATAAATCCAGTCTCAACCAGACCAAGATGGCCCCCAACTCTGTCCCTTGGGCACCTGGAAAGCACCCCACAGGGGAGTGGACTATCAAGCCCTAGGACAGCTCCCCACCACAGGCCTGGCTCCCTCACCCTCTGCCCCAGGCAGTAGCTAACCTCAGGCCAATCCCAGGCAGCCCTCGGAAGCTGCCGCCTGGAGTCCACATGGAGCAGGTCCTGCGGAGACGGGCCTGGCTGGGGTCGGAGTCAGAGACTGCTCTCCCCTGAGCACCTGCCTCAGGTGAGTTACCTGCTGCTTGCTTTTTAAGGTCCTCCATCTTGTCAGGGCCAGGGGCCAGCTCCCCTGGGGAGGCTCCAGGAATTCCCTTTTCTGCACATCTCCACTCAGTGATGTCACAGTCCCTGGGCTGACATCACTGGCATAGCCCCAGCCCAGAGCCAGGGCGAATACTGAGCACAAGTGGCAGCCGCCCTCCCTAGGGGCAGTCTCACAAGGACCCAACAGCACAATGACCCAATGACTAGTGTTGGCAGCGCCTCTTCCCTTGGGTTTAGCCAGGCATGGCTTCTGGTGATGGGGAGGAGGCATGGCGGGGCGGGGGAGACTGCACTCACCTCCTCCCTCTGGCAGAGCACCTCCCCGCAAGCCACAGCTCCTAGGAAATGCCCTAAAGACAGATCCCAACCTAGGCGACCCTCTGCTTCCTGGGTACATCCCCAATGGTCATGACCAGAGTGTTCCTGGCTTTAGGTAGGTGGGGAACCCACAGTGCCCAGGACACCTGAACCTCAGTGTGTCCACGGGGAGGGCCGAGGCTAAGGAATAGTGACCCCTCCCCATGCTAGTGGCAGAGGAAGTCCCGGGAGACCAAGACAAGGTGCAGGCACAGCAAGGCAAGGCACGAAACAGCATGCATGGACACAGGGGGCTGGGACATAAAACCAAGCATGAATGGTCATTGCAGCGTGACAGTGGTTTTGCTTTTCCTCTTTAAACTTTCCTGCCTTTTCCAAAGAGCACACAGGAATGTGAGTTACTTCCATGACTGCGAATAAACCCACACAGGAATAGTCCCTCAAAAGCCTCAGGCCCAGCTTCTGTGGCCAGTGTGGGTGGTCACCTCGTCATCCTGCCACAGGGAGCTGCTGCAGGGGGCACGGGGTCAGGTATCAGCCCACAGCCAACTCGAAACTGGAATTCTTGCCCACTTTCCCAGCATGGGTCAAGTCCCGAGATTCTAGAAACACAGACTAACCCTGGGAAGAGTGCTGGCACCCCAGGGCACCTGCCCGGAGCCTCCTGAAGAGTGGGTACCAATCTTCATGGGAACCCCGTGATTAAGGTGGGGGTCCTGATGGGACACCCTGAGAAGGAAAGATGCCGAGTTGTCAAGAGAATTCTGGTGGCGCGACAGAGCTGGACCAGAAGCGACGAGCGCGCTACGCAGACAACGCTCTCTAACAAAGTGCGCCTGCAGCGCTGCGGCGGGACATTAGCAATTTTTTAAAATATAGATTAACTTAAGAAGCCTATTGGTTATACTTTTAATAACAGAACACGTGAAGACAGATAAAAGCTCTGTAAAAGAAGCAAGTTTTCATAAAAGGCGACAGCAGTTCAGACGCAGGACACCGAAGGCAGGAGCGCAAGGCCCTCTGACCAGAACCGACCGCCCTGCCAGGGCACAGTCCAGGGCGCGCTGACTCCCCTCCATGCCCCCAACCCCACTCGTCCCTGAGGGCCACAGCCTTGTGCTCAGGCAGCAAGCAGGGGATGAGGGCCGTGGAGCAGACGCGCAGAGCACACGGGACACGGCCGGCCTCGCTAACCAGGACCCGCGAATCCCCGCCAGGGCTGCCTCGGCGCCACAGTGAGGACAGGAGCGGAATTTTTTTTAATTTAAAACCCACCATCCACTATACCCCCCATGCTTACTCCCACCCCCCACCTTCTTCACCTCTGGCAACCTCATTTGGTTTCAGTGCCCACTCATTTTCAGTTTATTGCATTTTGTCCATTTATGTGCTCAACTTCCTTATACTGCGTGTAGTCGTGGAACCATCCAGTATTTCTCATTATCGTTCTAGTTTTGCTTCGTGTAATCTCCAGGAGTTACTCTCCATTTGCTGCAAATGGCAACACTTTATCACCCCTTATAGTTGAGCATGGATTTCTATGGTGTGGATTTACCACGTCTCCTTTTTTTTTTTTTTTTTGCATAGAAGAACTGGGGTGCAGGCCAGAGGTGTGGGGGTTGAAAGTCAGAGTAGGGAGAGACAGAGTAGGGAGCAGGAAAGGCAGATTCACTGATACACACTGCTGAGGGGAGCAGCGGGGAGACAGGAGAGGTCTGCTGCGCCACATGTGGGTAGCTCCCTGGCTGGGGCTGGAACCCAGGCTGCAGCGGGGACAGTGCTGAGACTTAACCCCTGGGCTGCCAAGGAGGCGCTACCACATCTCCTTTGAGCACCTCAGCTGCTTCCACCTGTCTCAGCTACTGTGACTAACTGTGCAATAAACACTGTTGTGAATATAATCTGGATTCATTTTTTTCTTCCCTCACACCATGTTCCCGCCCCTTCTCCCCCCCCCCCCTTAACCTCAGGGGCCTCACTACATTTATTAACGTCCACTACTTTTTGTAAGTATTTTACTTTCTCGGATCATCCACTATGTAAATGTCTAGTATTTGCTTCTGTCATTGTCACTCACTTTACTACACAGAGTCCCCTCAAACTCCCTCCATTTTGCTGCAAACAGCTGCCTCTCACCTTTCCCTGGCTGAACAGTGTCCACATGTGGACACACCCTCTTCCTGACGCAGCCGTCCATGGACGCGCATCCAGGCTGCTTCCACGTTCTGACTTATTGCAAACAATGCTGCAAAGAACTCTGCGTGTAGTTTCTTGTGCTGATGGTTTCACATTCTGTAGACAGATGCCCAAGAGTGGGACCAGGGCCTCCCTGGTGGCGCAGGTGGTTGAGTGCAGCTGTGAAGCTGTCCTCAGCCCCTGCAGTGCTGGTTCGATCCCTGCCGGCCACGGAGCAACCCACATGGCGCGGCAGACCTCTCCTGTCTCGCCCGCTGCTCCCCTCAGCAGTGTTTTCGGTCTGCCTGCCTGTTCTGTTCTCCGCTCTGGCTCTGCTGAATCCTCTCACCCTCCCGTGAGAGACCGAAGTACACTGCTGAGGGGAGCAGCGGGCGGGCCATGTGGGACCCTCCTCTGGTGGCCGGGGAGCAGCCGGGGATCGAACCGGCACTGCAGAGGCTGCGGGCAGCTTCGCAACCCCGCGCTCAACCGCTGCGCCACCGGGGAAGCCCTCTCCATCTTCTTTTTAATCGACCAAGAGTCCTGCCCATCAAGGCAGGACCACTACAGCAGGGGAACGGAAGGCCAGCCAGCTCCTGAAAGGTGAGGGGGCCCCCTCAATCCAGACTTGCCCCCTGGAATTGGGTGTCACAGGACAAGGACCACAGCAGCTCTCCTCAGGGCCAAGAGGGCCCACAAAGTCGTCTCCCAGATTTCCCCAGATGCGGTGGCACTTCCCTGCCACACAGCAGAATCCTCTCCAGGATTTAGGATGCACACCAGCAACAGGTTGGGAGGGCTGGGAGCTAGACCTGACAGGCCTTGGAGACAGGAGCACAAGTGTCCCCAGAGGTAAATGGCTCCATTTTCTAAAGGCACAGCTTGGGGTGGCCCATTCTCCCAACACAGCAGAGGCTACAGCCACGCCCAAGGAGCAGCAGGCCCCACGGGTATGGCTGGAGTTCTTGCAGGCCTGGCAGGATTGTGACAAAGCGTGAATGGGGCCCACCTCTTGGATTTTGGGTGATTTTTCATAAACGTTCTTTAAAGATTTATTTATTTTTATACAAGAGCCAGGGTATAGGCCAGATGCGCGGGAGGGTGAGAGGATTCACCAGAGACAGAGTGGGGAACAGAACAGGCAGACTGACTGACACTGCTGAGGGGAGCAGCGGGCGAGACAGGAGAGGTCTGCTGCGCCATGTGGGATTCTCGCCAGCCGGCCGGGATTGAACCCGCGCTGCAGAGGCTGCGGACCGCTTCATAGTGCAGCGCTCAACCACCTGCGCCACCAGGGAGGCCCCATAAATGTTCTTTATGCTTTGCTATAACATATTAATTTTCTCCAATATATGAATAAACATACTGTTTTTGTTACTTAAGAACCCCAAGACAGGAGGTTGGTTTGTGGTCTCCCTAAGCACCTGGCCAATGCTATCGGTCACCGGATACACCTCCTCAGAGGAGAAGACGCTGCCCAACAAAGGCCCCAGGCCACACGCCCCTGTCTGAAAGGTCTCAAAGGGCAGGACCTGCCACAGTGTCTGGTACCAGCACATCCTTAGAATACCCGGTCTTCTAGAAACTGGCCAATGCTCCCAGACTAAGAGCCAAAACGCCTTGATGAAGGGTGTGGCCCCGGGACAGGAGAGATGACGCCAGGAGATGCAGGATACAGAAACTGGGAAGCAAGTTAGCAGCACATGGAGAATCGGGTCCTTATCCACAGTGGGGATCGATGGGGTGGCTGCTGTGGGATATGGTCAGTGGCTCCTGGGGGAGTTAGACAAGGCGTCATCATGTGACGCAGCAATCCTACTCCTCCACACGCCGAGAACGAGGCGCACATGTCCACACAAAAGCTGCACAACACATATCCACAACAGCACGACTCACTACAGCAGAGTGGGGACAACCCAGATGGGCCCCCCACAGGACCATCACTGGCCATGAAAAGGGGGCAGTTCTGGTGCTCGCCACCACAGGGAGGGACCCTGAACACACCATGCTCAGGGGGAGAAGCCAGACACGCGAGGCCATGTGTGTGTGAGCCTACTGGTGAGAAACATCCAGAACAGGCACAGCCACAAAGAGTGGGCTCATGGTGTCAAAGGGCTGGGGAAAGGACGGAGGCTACTGCTGGTGAGAACAGCATGTACTTCTGGGGTGACAGAACATTTGGGGATAGATAGAGGTGGCGGCTGTACGGTTATGTGACTGTACGAAACAACAAAAGTGCACACTTTAGTGAATTACAGCCTGTGAACTATATCTCAAATATTAAAAAGTAGAACTGTGCCTCCCTGGTGGCGCAGGGGTTAAGACACAACCTATGAAGCTGTCCGCAGCCTCAGCAGCACGAGTTCGATCCCCGGCCAGGGAGTTACCCACATGGTGCAGCAGACCTCTCCTGTCTCCCCGCTGCTCCCCTCAGCAGTGGATTTCAGTAGATCTGCCTGCTCTGCTCCCCACTCTGTCTCTGGTGAATCCTCTCACCCCCACTCCTCTGGCCTGTGCCCCAGCTCTCGTATGCATGGATGAGTAAATCTT